ATCCCCTCCCCCCCCCACCGGGGAGGCAATTTCTCGCTTTCTGTCTGTCTGTCTCTCTGGCGAGCACACGTGCCCTATAGCAAAAACCTCTTCAAAAAAGAAAAAAAAAAAAGAATCCCCGACCCATGATGGGCTTCTTGTTTCCCGCCTGAATCAATTATACGTGCCAGTGCCTGCACCCTTCCCTACTCCTGCTTGTCCACATGAAGCTGGGGAACAAAGTTCTTAGGGAATCCTTCCCTCCCCACCCCCACCCCTTGTGTTTGTCAGGTACCTCTTTCCATGGACCCCTTGGTGAGCAATGTGGGCTTGTGTCATAGCACGTCACCTGGACTGTCCCCCATGTTGGGAGATCCTTGGAGGCAGGAACTATCCTCTCAGGTTCTGCAGCACTTTATAAATGTGATGGTCAACACAAGGGGTGGGGTGGGGGGAGTGGCTGCACCTGGTGAGTGGACACAACCAGGACAGGTGCCACTGCTGACCCTCGTTGAGTGGGACAGCCTCCGAGGTTTCTCAGCCAACTGGCCTGGCCTGTTTCGTAGCTGGACGTGTTCTTCCTCTCTCTGTTCCCCCAGGAAAAAAGGGACGAAGGCTTCCACCAGGCCAGAGCAACAGCCCGCAAGGCTTTTCACGGGCAAGCAAAACATGGTGGGGGGGCTTTAAACTAAGTAGGCTGGGCCTTTTTAAAGAAGGGGTTCTGTCTGAAAGCATTAAACAGCTGTCACGATGGTTTAAATTGGACCACAGAGACCCAGGTTGTATGTGCCTGATAAAGATGAAATGTTATGGCTACTTAGGAAGCCCGAGGAGACGGGATTCCTGAGGGAGTCGGGAGGCCAGAGACTGACGGGGCTTGTTTGGGTTCCACCTCCCCAGGGAATGGCTATAGACGAGGACATGGGTATGTGCGGGTGGTCAGACCATCCTGAGGATGGCCATGGCGTTGGGTGCTCGGCTAGGAGGACTCTCAGAAAGCCGTACTGTTGGGGGTGGAGGTACTGGAGAGGGCTGGGCTCCTCCCCAGAGTGGACACATCCCCACCAGCCCTGCCAGGTGGCCCAGCCAGCGACTGCACAGAGGATAGACCAAGTGCACCTTGCTTTTACCTGGCCCAGTCAATGTTTCCACTCCTGTCCCACTGCCCCGAGAGGGACCAGGAAGGCCAGGAAAGGAAGGGCATCGTTCGTGAGTCTAGGTATCTTCAAAGTTTGGGGAGAAGATGCAAACAGTGCAGCAAGGCCTTCAAAAAGCCCAATTCAGAATGTGCGTGTGGCTACATGAATTACTGCTGAGGCAGAGGCCTTCTACCCTAGTTGGAGCCTTTGCCAACTTACTTTCTGTTCTCTGCTATTTTCACGGTGTGGCTGAAACAATACGAACTCCTTTCACACAGGTGGTGTATTTTTTCTTGGATGCATCGAAAGGCAAAACCTCCTTCTGAAAGCTGCCTACCTCTCACCTGGGTCATGTGGAGGTGGAGCTGACCCCAAGCAAGGGTCCTGTGAGTCTACCTTGAAGCATCATCAAGCTGTGGTGGTCGGGAGGAAAAGGAGGGGACATCTCACAGAGAGAAAGGGGAGGCTTTGCCCATAGCACTCAGAGGAGCGGGGAGGAAACAGCCAGTCCCAGTGGCAGAGCAACCACAACCACAGGAGAGGAAGGCACAGGCCAATGGCACGTAACCCCCAAGGGGGTGACTTCAAGAATGCCAGTGCAGACATTACTCGTAGCTCCTTTCAAAGCCATTCCCAGAGGTATCAGATCAGCAACAAAAATGACACAAAGACAGAGGTGACCGACATGAGATGCAGATGGAGATGAGCTTTTCCAGAACACAGGTTCACAAACTGGTTAGAGATGGCCAGTGAGATGCAGGGTGCATGGGTGTTATGTGGCCCGGGTGTGGCAGGGTCAGGAGAGTGAGCGCAAGGATGGGAAGAGAGAAGCCCAGATACACATGAAGGCAAAGCCGGCTTTCATCTTACCACTTCGTCCTCGGTAGGCTTGAAAACACAAATTGACACTTAGTGTGAGGCCACGTCACACTCAAGGATACAAGTTATGAGCATGAGGCTGCTGACGGCTTCTGGGGAGGACTGTTACTGGGGAAGGGGCGAGCAGGTGGGAGGCGGGCCTCTCCAAACACAGGAAGTGAAATCAGCAGAAATTCAGAGTGTTTACGAGACATTTTAGAAGGCATCCTAACCCTAGCAGTTTCTTCGTAAACAATTACATGTAAAGTGTAAGTGACCAGGCAGACTGGAAAGTCCAACCTGGGTCTTGAACTCCTACTCTGCTTTAACAAGCACACAACGAATAGATAAGATCCAATTGTTCAGCTCAGAGCTTTATGCTTTGAGTGGTCAGAGAAAGTGACTTTTTAAAAACTAGGTTTGGAGGTATTATCTTATGGAAAAGTCTGGGCTCGCCTGGTTACTTTCAATTCTCCCTACAAAATGTAGGCAAATAACATAAAAATGGCTCAAACAAAATATCTCCAACAAGAGCGCATCAGAGGAGGAGGACTTGCACAGTACCAGTGATTATGGCTGGTAAGTCATGGAGTGGGAGGACTTGTCAAGGAGCAAGGGATGGGGCAGCTCTCTGAAGCAGTCTGGGCTCCTAGTGGTGAGAGCTGGGATGCCAGGGGTCTGTTTTGCTGCGGGCCGAGACAGCACTTAGTACTGACATCTGCGTGCAGGGTATCGCAGGCAACATGGAATTCAAGAAGAACAGAGCAAAACTCCCATGGACTCTTTAGGCCACACCTGGAGTTCAGAGCAGGGCCCATGGGAAAAAGCTGTGGTGCCCCAAGAAGAGCAGAAAGCGGGCTGATTATTAGTATTTTTATTTTTCAAGCAGAAGACTAGAGTGAGGCTCTCAGTTACACAAGATGAGGGCTGACCCGCAGTGGAAGGAGGAGCAGCCCGCACCACTGGATCTTACCTCTTCCGCGTCCTCGGAATGGGTGGAGAGCTGGTCATGCTGAATAATCTCAGCATCCTCCTCTGTCGGTCCGTTGCCCACCCTGATCCCACCAAAGTTAA